TGAAGGGACCTCAAACACCACCTAATCCCAACCCTTGCCATGTGCTGGCTGCAGCCCTGCAGCTCCCACTGGGTACCCTTGGACTTGCTCTCCATTCCTGAAGTTGGAGGAAGCCAAGGGAGTTTTGATGCCCCTCTGCAATATCAGAGCAGCACAGGGGGACTCGGCATGGCTCAGAGACACATCCTTTGGCTCTCTGCAGAGGTTTGTGCCGTGGGACACCTGTTTTCCCCTTGGAAATGATGTGTTTTCTCAAGGAGAGAGCTTCCCTTGCCCGGTTGCAGGGCCTGTGACAAGCAGACACTCCCAGCTCCCCGTTGAGGACTCGCTTCTCGCCCGGCACTTTCGAGCTGTGCCAGCAGCATTGTGAGAGGAGATCTGGCATCGTGGCCAGGAAGTGCTAAAGAAAGTCCCTTTCCTCATTCATCAGCAGAGTTATCTCCCCCAGCAGAGCTCCAGCATTCCTTGCACACTGCAAGACACATTTCAAGCCCACGGCTTCGGCCACGCTGGGCACGTGGCCGTGTGCCAGGACACCCTGTGTGCCACTGTGTGCTCCCCCACAGCCCAAACCCCTCTCCTAAAGGCCCTTCCCAAAGTGCTGTGAGCTGCTGGATATTCCTGCCCTTCCAGGCAAAATCACCCTCCTCATTTCTTTCCTTTTCTGTGTTTTATGGCATTTTTAAAGCAGTCTCTCGGAGATTCCCAAGCTTTGCACGTCCATCCCAAGTGTGAGGAGCAGGGGCTGCTTTGATGCTCCTCCAGACCCCACCTGGGACCCCTGTTTGGTTGTTGAGCAGCTGCTGATGCATTCTCCAGCTTTTTGTCTGTCTCTGCTACCACCAAGCTTCTCAAGAAAGCAACGGAGTCCCCATTCCTGTGGGATTTGATGGGGTATGGATGTGGCATTTAGGGACATGGCTCAGTGGAGGGCTTGGCAGCGCTGAGTGGATGGTCAGACTCGATCTTAGAGGTCTTTTCCAAACAAAATGGATGTGTTTTTCCATTAACAAAGCAGTTTTGGTGGGTGTCAGAAGCATGTGTGGCCTTCAAGCCTTTAGGGCTGGGACGTGTTTCCAACTCGGGCCAAGGTGCTGGGGTAGTTGGCTCTTTTCTGATGAATTTGCATTGGAAATGGCTCCTGTCTTGTCAGCACAGCTGCTACGGGTTCCCAGTCATTTGGGGACCTCAGGGAGGGGCCTGAAGTGGGGGTGTGAGGGGGAGGAAGGGGCTGAGTCCCCCACACCCTCCCAAAGATTGTTCTCCCACCCCCAGAGCTGGAGTTTCCAATTGCAGGAACATTGGACCTGCCCTTCCTGCCCTGGGGTGGCTGGGCATGTCCCTGCTGAGATCCCAGTGTCCCTGTGCAAAGTGCACTTACCCCAAGTGCCAAATTACCCTTTTTTGACATCGCCTGGAGGCACCTCACCTTTCTGAGCCTGAGTGGCACAAAAACTGGGCAGCACAGCCCTCTGTATGCACTGTGATCATCTGAGGAGTCTCTAAACTCACTGAATCCAGTAAAAGAGAGAAAATCATGAAAACTTTCTTTTAAACAGGGCGTCCCAGAAGCTGCTGAGGAGCTCCCAGCATGTGCCAGGCATTAGGGCTGTTGGCCACCCTGCGTGCAGGAGGGTGGCCCAGGGCTCCCAGTGGGAGTTCAGAGCAGTTTATTCACTTTATGACTCTGCAGAGTGGTTAAAAATAAGTAGAGCTCTTCTGAAACTGGGTGAGTGCAGGTGACGGGGCCCTTCTGCTGCCTCTCTCTAGTGCTGGTTCTTTACAGCCCTCCAAGGGCTGGGGCAGAGCTTCCCTCATCTATTACCTTCAAGGTGTTTGGTTTTACCAGACAAGTTTCTTGCTCTGTTTGGCACAATTCCATCCCAGTTCCAGTCACCTCTTCCCTCTGGCTTTAACTTCCCTCTCTAATGGGCTTTGCAGTGCCCAGGATGTTCTTCCCACCCAAGGATTTGTTCTGTGGCTGTTCCAGAGGCTGGAAATGTTGGTAGCCACAGCATTTTCTGTGGTCTCAGATCTCTACCCAGAGCTGAGCATGGTGTGTGTGCCCAGAAGCCATGGCTGGTGGCTCCCAAGGGTTTTTTGGATGCACAAAGATGGAGGGTGGTGGCAGGATTGGGAATTTGTGTTATTTGTGCTCCCTTGCACCAGGGGAGATCTCAGGACCCTGCTCAGCACCAGCCTCGCTCGAAGCAGATAAATGCCACCACTGATTTTGGGCCTGACAGGTGCTGAATGAGCCCCTTGGAGAACAGTGATTTTGCTCTTTTTTTCTCCTGTGAAATGTTTGCTTGTCCAAAGGTGTGATTGACTGGTGAATAAAATGGCCTTGGCACACCCCATATTAAACTGGAGCTAATTTTAACATGTGGCTGTTGAGGTAACAGTCTTGAGCCAAGAATTCATCATCTTCCACCAACAGCGACCTCGAAAACGCCAAAGAAATAAAAAGCACGAGAGGACACTGCAGATTGGCCGCAGGAAGAGTGCCAGGAGTGAGCTGTGCCACCAACACCCACTCTGGGAGTCCCCACCTGGACTTGTGGTGCTCGGAGTGAGGAGTGAGGGTGAAAGCCACCTGCAGTTGTCATCCTGAGTGGTGGCTTTTCCTGTGGGCAGCGTGGTGGCCTTGCTCTGCTGCCAGCTCCTCACTGCTGGGGCAGGACTCTGCTTAATTGTGTTCTTTGGGTTTTACCCCAGGCCTTTTTCAGCAGCTTGTTAAACAGATTATGGCTGTTTTTACCTTGATGTTTGTCACCTGCTGGCACTCAGGGCCTGGCTGCTGGTGTGGTGGCTCTTTGCTGATGTCACCTGGAGCTGCAGGAGGGCACTGCCACTGTGGCAGGTGCCTTCTCCTCATTTACCTGCTGTGGTGAGGTGGCTTCCACATCTGAATTGGATGAGCAACGTCACTTTTGGCCTTTTGTTCCTTCACTGGCACAGGGTGCCCAGGGAAGCTGTGGCTGCCCCATCCCTGGAAGTGTCCGGGGACAGGGCTTGGAGCAACATGAGATAGTGGAAGGTGTCCCTGCCCATGGCAGGGGGGTGGAAATGGATAATCCTGAATATCCCTTCCCACCCAAAGCATTGTGTGATTCTGATTTGGGGTGAGCAGGGAGAGCTCAGGATGAGAGGCAGTGCTGCAGAAGGGCAGGGCGGTTCTGCAGAGGGAGTTTGCATCTTGCTGTGTGTAATTGTGGCTGTACCCTGTGCCATTAACTTTCAAAATTGGAGGCTTAAAAGGATTTGAAATAAGCACACACTGGAACTTTGTAATCAGTGGGACTGCAGTGCAGCAGCACACACAGCCCGGGGTGCAAATTCTTGCAGAGACTCAGGAGATAAAGTTATGAAATAACCTATGTCAGCAAGAGAGACTGTAAAGCAATTCCAAAAAAAAACCAAAAAAACAACAAAACCCAACCAAAAACCTCCCAGTCTAGACACTTCTATTTACTGCAGTGTTTATATGAGATAGAGGAATGCCCTAGAAAACCAGATTTGTTTTCAGTTTTTGCCTCTGGCACGTGCTTGTCTAATGAGAAGGCTGTGATGCAATGGGACTTTCCTGTGCCACCTCCTGTGCTGGCCCTGTGGCGTGGGGGAGAAGGGTAAAAGGTTATTTCTTGCTTTGTGTAGGTGAACCAGCCTGCTGTTACTGAGGTGGTTTTGCTAATCCATGGCTGGAAAACCTCGTGTCTAATCCCCAGAGCAGCGCTAACGAGCTGTGCCTCGTCTGTGGAGATACCACGGCCCCAAAGACTCTGCTTTGATTCTTTTAATTAAAAGAAAATTAAGCTATTTTCTTTTGCTTTGAACCCTGGGTGAAGTTTGCAAGCGGTGTCTTTATGTGGTGTGTGCTTGATGACAGCTTGGGGAGCCAAGATTGTGCCGTGTGACAAAACCAGGCTGAGGAAATCCACCCAAAGGCAGATTGGCTTCTCTGCCTGTTGATCACATGGGGGTGATTCACCCCCTTAATGGATTGATTTCCTCAGGAGTCCAACATATTTGTTAGGTATTTGTAAGGAATTGCCTGAAAAAAGTGAAGAGTTGCCTGAAGACACAGCGATAAATGGAAGGTGTTTTGCAGCGAGGATGCAGAAAGAAGGGAAGTTAATTGGCTGGCTCAGCAGATGAAGGATGTAGGTGATGCAGCTACAAAAATGAAAGAGATTTTTATTTTTCTCTTCTTTTGCCCCTGTGCTGCCAGGAACTAGACCCTCTGGAGTCCTCAGGCTTCAGAATCCCTGATGATTGTGGATAAACAACCTTTTATTGCTATGGCCAAAGACAGGATTTTTTTAAAGAGAAACTTGATGTTGCCTAGCCAGTCAACCTTGCTGGATGACCAGAGGTTTGGGTTGGAAGGGATATTGTAGCTCATCCAGTCTGACCCCTGGGCAAGGACACCTTCCACTATCCCAGGTTGCTCCATGCCATGTCCAGCCTGGCCTTGGACACTTCCAGGGATCCAGGGGCAGCCACAGCTGCTCTGGGCTGGGCCTCCCAACCCTCACAGGGAACAATTCCTTCCCAATATCCCATCTAACACTGCCCTCTGCCAGTTTGAAGCCATTCCCCCTTGTCCTGTTGCTGTAACTCATGACCCTTCTGTAGGGAACCAAAGGGGATCATGCTGGAAATGGTTAAATGTTCAACACTGGGCTTCTGTGGAATATCAGCTGAAGTTTATATTTGCCTTTGACCTTGAAAGAGAAACGTCCTGGCTTGAGTTTTGCGGCCCTTCTGCGACGTTACCTTGGGAGAAACTTGTTTTTCAAAGGGGCGTTGTGTTCCTGGTGTGCAGCTGAGAACACAGGAGCCCTTGCAGGGCACCCAGACACCCTCAGAAACAACAAATAAACTCCTGCCTGGCTTTGCAGTGCGAGTTTCTCAGTCCCTGCTCACTTGCCTTGCATTAAATCTCAGTTATAATTTGTGCCTGTCTCACTTTTCCCTTTCTCCTTTTTCTCCCCCAGTTTCTGTGTTTGAAGAACATCCGGACCTTCCTAAAAGTGTGTCACGACAAGTTTGGGTTAAGGAACAGTGACCTCTTTGATCCCTTTGACCTCTTTGATGTGCGGGATTTCGGGAAGGTAAGAGTTACTCCTGAGCTCCTGGGAAGGGATGAGTCTGGCACTGGGGTTTGTGCTCCAGGTTTGGGATGAAAATACAAAGGTTTTGTGGTTTCCTGAGCAGACTCTGAGAATTTGGCACCAGTTCCCTTGTGCTTGTGGTGTATTTAGGATTCTGCTGTGTCCTCAGTGTATTTAGGGGTTGTTTTAGTATATTTGGGGGCTGATTCTGCTGTGCCCTCAGTGAAGGGTGGACCAAGCCTTCAGTTTTTTGCTTTAGATTAAAAACTCTCTGGGATCAGTCTCTAAATGATGTGACCCATGTGTTTTTGAGAGGAACCAAACCTTGCACAGGCTCCACACCTCCCTCAGTCCTTCCCCATCCGCTGCCACCTCTGCAGAGTAAAGTAACTCTGCTGAATGATTTTTGTCACGTGGCCGGTGAGTGTCTGTCTGTGGGAGTTCCATGGCAGGGTGAAATGAGTGTCCTGAGCTTCTCAGAAATGTGCTGCTGTAAGTGATGGTTCCACCAAATACCGAACAAGGAAAACTCAGCCTGGCTTTGACGAGTGGCTCTTGTTGTGATCCCCTGGCTTCGACACCAGCTGCATCAGGGCTGATGGATGCAGGGCTCAGGGAAGCCATTACCCAGGACAATTGCTATATGCTTCAGCAGAAAAGGTGATAAAAGATTTATTAAAGCTCTGTATTGTTTTACCTGTTTTGAGCTGCCAGACATAAGCTGCCGGAAGGCATCTTCCCTTCTGATTATCCAAGGAGTAGATTTTCACTGCTGATGGGGATATATTATTTGATATTTATTGCCTAATTTATTTCTGGACCATTATGTGGAATGTGCAATTGCAGTGCCTTGTTTTATGAGATTTTTTTTTTTTTTTGATTTATGGAATACAAGAAGGCAGTTGTTGTTCTGGGAATATGAATGCACAGAAGGAACCTTTTGGGCTGGGGAAGGAACTGCTGCTAATTAAAATGCTGCTTCATCATCACATTGTCTCTTGCTTTGTGCAGTTTCAGATTGCCTCTGATGCCTGTTAATAGGGCCTGGTGTTAAACACTGCCAGAACACATCAGCTGATCAGCACAGTTTGCTTTCCTTCCTGGTCTGCTGAGGGAACAGCTCTTCCCTCCCCCTGTTCACTTTTTGGAGGTGCTTTGTGACTTGGGGAGCTGATTTGCCACTCCCTCTTCCCTCAGGGCAATCTGGTTTTTTTAGGAGACTTGGGAAAGAAACGTGTCATAAACTTCTAAGAGATCCAAATGTATTTTATTGCCTGCATCGTGCTTGTTTTCATGTGCATCGTCATCCTCAACCAACCACAGAAAATGTGGGAAGCGCAGACTCTCTACACGAAAACCTAATTTATTTTTTTTTTATCAGCTTGGTGGAGGTATCAGCTGTCCAGCTCTGCACCACCCTAAATCCCTCTGGAAGCCTGTCAAAACATTGCCATTGTCTTCACCACCTTTCATTCCCACATTATCCTCAGATCTGTGTTCAACAGTGGCAAAGCAAATAAACAGGGAAAAATCTGCTGTTGACCAGAGCTCCTTTTCCGCTTTGAGTCACGGCGAGAGCAAAAGGAGTCTCTAATCCACGTCCCCACTGGCCAAACACAGACTTCACTCACAAAAAATTCTTCCTGGAGCTATTCACTCCTCAGTCCAGTGGTACTTTTTTTGGTTACAGGACACTTACACCATGTAGGAGGCATTTCTGATGGGACAGAGTAACAGCCGAGCGTTTAATTGCAGGGGGGCTTTGGTGGAGTGGTGTTGGGTGTTTCCTTCCTGGATGCCACTGGGAGAATTATTCCTCTCCTCCAAACCAAAAGGCCACTGGGACAGCAATTACCAGCAGCTTTTGGGATTGCTGGAGTGTAATTAGTGAGGAGAAAGGCAGGGACTTGGTGCCAACCTCTGCGTAAAGGGCTTTGAATCTTCGGGGTTTTTTAGTGTTAGAAAACCACTGGTGTTTTAAAAGAGGATGAAAAATAAGATCCCTCAGTCTTGCCTCGCCCAGCTGTCATTTTGAGAGTGATTTCCATGTCTCCATCACTCCTTTTGGCTCCTGAGACTTCTGCAAGGAGGAGCTGCCATGGGAGCAGTGGAGCCTCTTCCAATGGGGCAGCTCTGCCTGGGGGCTCCTCAAGTCCAGGGTTACTCCTGGGTTTGCTTTTTCCTTGAGTTTTAAGCTTGGGACGGTACTTTTTGCTGTCAGCAGGGTGACAGCTGGTGAAATGGGATCGTGAACCATGTGGGCTTCTCCAGCCAGAATCCCAGTGGAGCTGGGAAGCTCCGGCTCTGTGGGATGTTGGGAATGGGCGCGCTCAGGCTCCTGCCAAATGGATGCATCACATTCCCTGTGATCTGCAGAGTCTCCCAGCTCCCCAGGGCAGCCCAAAGGCCACTTCCAATTGCTCATGGCCAGCTGGAATTGCTCACAGCCAGCCCTTTTCCCCCCAAGTCCAGTTGCTAAGCAGTCCTGCTCTGGTGGGGGCTGTGCTGTGTTTGGTGACAGAGTGATCTGAGATGCTGGTGTCTCTATTTCTACCCATGCCCTTTCAAAAAATGTACTTATATTAATTATTTTTGAAAATTTGATCCCTTTAAAGTGGCTCAGAGCTCTCCATAAATCACCAGTGACATCTGCAAAAGTGTTTTCTCCGTGGCTGCAGGATGCAGGAGTAAAACCCCAGTTAATATTGCCTCATCCCTAATTAGGGTGGGATTCTGCAGGCTTGCTGTGCCCAGTCTCTGTTAGTACAGCCTGGCTCTTCAAAAAGAAATAAAATAAAAAGCTGGTGCTCATGTAGTGTGTGTTGTTACACATTTAGTAATGGTGATGGTATAAAATCAAACTCTTATTGGACTTGCTAATTTATTGGCACCAACTGTAATGACATAAAATGTACATAAATATGGATTAAACTCTTTATTACTCTATTAGTCAGCGTGATGGTAGCCAGGTTCATTAAAAGGAGTTACTCATTTTAAATAACTTGCAGTAATGTACAATTTTTTTTTTTTAAGAAATATAGTTCAAATATTCATAAACCTGTGGAGCGTGCCATTTATTACCCTCCCGCTCCTCTCTGCTCTCCTGACATGGATTTAATCATCCTGAATTCCTTTTGAAGTTCCTGCTCTGTTTGAAAAACCCTTTTTTTTTTCAAGATAAGGGTCTTCCCTCCCCTGCCCCACAGATATGAAACGATGCTGATCTAAAAATGAAAAAGGGAAGCAATTCACAGGTCAGCTGAAAGAGGAGGAGACTGGTACTGAAATTAAAGTCATGTTTTCCACTCTGGCTCTGGTCCAGAGGATGGGGAGAGAGAGCTGCACCCTCCTCACAGCTGGAGCAGGGTCTGGAGCAGGGTCTGGATCGATTCTTCCTCTCAGCTGAACCCACCCAGATTTTTGCTGGTGTATGGCTGGGGCAGGGCTCAAACGAGGTTCATTTTGTGTAGCTGAAGTGCCAGGGAGGGGATGTGGGTGGTGGGGAGGTGGCCCCGAGCCTGGCACGCTCCAGTGCCTGTGCCAAGAGCTGCCTTGGAATCACTGAAATCACAGTGAAAGCCAAGAGTGTCCTTTGTAAATCTGGGGTAACTGCTTCAAGTATAAAGGTGTCCCCTTCCTCCTGCTGATGGGCTGGTGTGGAAAGCTCTGGGGAAAAGCTCCTGGAAAGCTCTGGGGGGAACCAGGCTGTCCTCACTGGATGCTGTTTGTCCCCAGCACTGTCTGGAGAGTTTTCCAAGTGCAGGATTCCCCCTTGCCATCCTTAGGGATGGGTTGGGATAGCTCTGGAGGGGCTCAGCTGCCACAGTCCCCCCATCCCTTTCTGTCACACTCCACCCTGCTGACAGAGAGTCAGAAAACTCTGTTTTTCTGCTCACTTTCAGACAGGAGGCTGGGGAGCATTGTCTGAATTATTTAAGGGATTCATAACCGAGAGTTGGTTGGTGTTTCTGTTTCTCTGCTGAGAATTCCCCTCCCTCCAGCATCTCCAACGCCATGTAGGAGCCACTAGCCCTGCAGCAGTATTTTTAAGGGTGCTTTTTAACACAGTCTGGGCAGAGAAAGGGAGAGATTTATATGAATTAATATAGAAAGGTGGAAGCTGCAAGGATTCTGAATATATGGCTGCAGTAACACAGCAAACCCAGTGCCAGCTCTGACCTGCTGCTGGTGGGAGCATCTCTTCTCTCATTTTGACTTTCAGGGGTTTTTTCTGACCTCCTGGAGCCAAGAACATATTAAAAGCAGTGTTTTCTCTCTGCATGAAGCAATATCGTCTGGGAGAGAAGAGCAGCACTTGGCAGCCCAGCTGGGTGTCCCATCCCAGCCCTGGCCCTTATTTTCACAAATCCTGGAAGGGAGTTCCCATGTTGTGTCCTGCTGTGTCAGCTCCTCAGATGGCTCTGTGGCATTGGCTGCTTGCCCAAGGGGATCCTGTGGCAGTGGGAGCATCGCTGTGTCACCAGGGCGGGTGGGGAGGGAAGTGAGGAGAACTCTCCAAAAGAAGGGCGTGGATGTTTTATATTTTATATTTTTTATTTTTTAAATTCCCGAGGGAGCAGTAGAGTAACCGGCCTGCCATGAGATTTTTGTGTCATTGCATGGAAGAAACCCACTTAACTCCTTGCCTGCCCAGTGCTTGCTGACACTTTGTCCCCACCGAAGAAAGAGCCCCCTGTTCCCATACAAGGTTTTTCCCAGAGTCTTTGGGACTGTTCTTCCTGCCTGAGGGAGAATCCCCAGCTCTGGGAAGTGCTGGAGAACACGAGGAAGGCAGCCCTGGATGCCTGTGCAGGGCTATGACTGCAAAAGTTGATGATTAACTCCCCATTGCAGGAGCTGTGGGTGGTGTTCAATGACCTTGCTGGAGTTGTTCTGGAGGTTTGGACATTGGGATGGAAGCTCCAAGTGGCAAAATCAGACTGGAGCAGCACGGCTTGGGTTTGTTCTTCCCTCCCTTTGCCAGCTGGAGGGTTCATTTG